TTCTAAAATCCAATGTAACCAAGTCTACCCTTTTTCGACGTACTCAATAAATCCAAGATACCAAGTAGTCATGTATGCAGCTAATTAATTCTAGTATGTTCTTTGTACATATCACATAAGGTGGTACCTCTCATACAGCTCGCCAAAACATCCATATGAGGAAACTTCCTCGAGCTTTCCGTTGTCCTAGGTACCTCGGATGTAATTGACTCCACTGATCAGAGGATCCAGTAATATGATATGAACTTTCTAATCATGATATACATTACAATTTGAAACAGTTACCAATCGTAATCCATCAAATAGACCAGGTTTTCACAGTTCACATGCACAAAACCACACTTCAATTCCAGATTTAAACATAACATAAAGTTCACAAAAATCAAATGCTCAAACAGAAAAGTTAACCCAACCAGATTCACAAGAATAAAAGAGTCTCTTGTAGTAATTAAATTATAACAGAACATACGCATTCAGATCACAAAACACAGATAATTTCTTGAGCACAACATTCATCCTGAATTTAACTAAGCATCACTACTATATAGTTCACATTCCAACATGTTAAAACAATTTAAGCAATTCATAAACCCAAGTTCTGATATACTACCAAAAATTCAATCTCATTTACTTCTTTTTAATTGTTATACCCAACAACTGATACTCAATGCGCATGATATATTTTCATAATTTCAAGTTATCAAACCGAAGACTCCTCATTAACTTTTTATCCTGACAAGCCAATACCAAAATAAGTTTTCATGCATTTAATTTATCAAACAGAGATCACTCACTTTTAATATAACTTAAACATCAATTCATTACTACGTCCACTTATATGGCTCTATAATTTTAGTTTGCTTGTTCTAATTATTCAAGTCATTCCCTAGATTATGTTCCTACACAATTTCAAGCATAAGTACCAAAACCACTAAACAAGACTTTTTCATTAATTGATTCTCAGTGTTTGACAGTTTGATGCTACCGTGTTACCGGAGAATGTGTTGGCCAGACCCATTCCCAGTCACAACTGGAGTATCATATCATCACACACTAGGAATCATCAAATTCCATACTTCGTTATTTATTCTTCCTTTAGGCATTATTCAACTACACCCTATTACACCTCAGACTTCTCTCTTGAAGAGGTTTACGTGTCTCATAAATGCTAATTCTACTTTCGTAATGTCAAGCAGCAAGTGGATCCTACTCACTACATGACATTAACGACAGTAGTCTCAAGATTGAGGCATGGTTCCCACTTCAGGACAGAATCTCAAACAATCACTTACAACATTATACAATTCAAACAACTTAATTCAACTGCAACATAACACAACCAAACAATTCACGCGCACTTGAGTAACAGTAACTATTCAAGTCAAATATTTCAATACATAATATGAACAGCACAACCAACTAGAGCATAAAATAAAACAGTACATATTATTCAACTACTCGAACAACATCTACAAAATCAACTGCAAGACAGATCAATCCAATTTAACAGATCAATTTCAATTATTTAGCCAGGTTACACTTATCACTGCATAAACTGACCTCTACATATCAAGTCAAAAGCAAGATAAATCCACACAGTACAGCCTACACTTCAGAAATTCAAGCAGTACTTTACACAATTTTCAGGACTCAAAACTGCTCCAAGTAATAAGATTTCAAGCTATTGTAAATAGTACTTTCATAGGGTGATTCCAATATAACTCATAATAACTCTAATATTTTAGTCATACTAACTTTCATAATTTAAAAGAATAATTCAGCACGTGCCAATCATGATTCAGATAGTCCAGTAATTTAATTCTAACAATTAGCAACCAATGAACATTTCAACAACTAAATTCAAACAACAACGATCAAACATGCTTATACAATTAACAACCAATGCAGCAAGCAATACACAAACACCTTGAATCAAAACTGCTCTGATACCAATTAGTGTAACACCCTCCCTTGTATGCATCCAAGAGAGTTGTTTGCTAAGCGGAATTAGAGTTCGTTCGTCACAATTTTATGTACTGAAAAATCACTTTGACGTTCCTAATTAAAACACATAGTTGAAATCGGTTTACTTACAAAAATCAGAGTATACTTTCAAATTTCTCAACTACTGAAAATATAACTTTCCTGGCAGACCTTGCTGATTTAAAAATTCGTATAAAATTCACTTCAACGATTCAAATAAATATTCTTTGTAATCTAGAAACTAGACATCCGGGGCTTCGCGTTCATATAAAATAATAGTAATTTGAAGTTCGTTTTCCCCTCAAAACATAACTCGCAAAATAAGAGAGAAAATAGTGGAAATATCACAAATGTCCTGGCTGGTAAAATTCATAATAAATCGATCTTTTAGAATTTCTTTGCAAGGTTTATATATAATGAAACTAGACACCTGGGGCTACGCGTGCATATAAATTATAAGAAAATCGGAGGTCCGTATCCCCAGTACGACAACTTACAAAGTGCTCGCAAAGACCTTTCAAAACTCAGCATTTAGATAACATGTCAAAATCCTTTTCGCAAACGTTTCAACATCTGTTTCCAAAATACTTGTTGGTCATAAAATCGTAATGCAATAATAAAATCATAGTTCACAGTAATAAAAGCTTCTCAATTTCATACAGTCATCCATAAAATATCACATCAATAGCAGCATGCCCAAACAGTAGAAGCCAACAGCAAATACCCAAGTCCTCAAAAGCTTTTACGTCCTCCTGCCATTTTGTAAAAATAGCAGCCCCAAAGGGGTGAGAGAAAATCCCAGTAGTGTGGCAACAAAACCATAATGCAACAATCTTAACTAGGCACAAAATCATAAATAGTCACTTCAAACATTTAATCCTTTTCATCATATATCATAACGCGTATATAACGCCCTTTTTCCTTTACGCTCATAGCACCGTCGTGCGCGTAGCATCACAGTGGGTATTCCTAATGGCTCCCATGAAGGTGAATCCCACTGTGGAACCTATGCGGACTGAAGCCAAGTGTCCCCTCTCCTGGTACCAGGCATGCCTATATGATGCATGCTCAGTCACATGTCCTCAATACAAATATATATATTCAAGATGTCATGAATCAAGTACACATGCCATGTTATGCAATCGCACCCAACAGAAAAATGTATTATGATGTAAAATGCATGCATATATCATATCATTCTTTCATATTCTTACCATTGGCTCATCATCATCATAACATACATAGAACAAATGTGAGCAACACATCACAATTCCATACACTAGCCAATAGTCACATTAGGTAATACCGCCTACACATACCTCGAGTCTTTAACCTTTTTAACCAAGCACTCCAAATATCATCAAACAGTCCAATTATATAGGACCTTGTGCACCTAAACAAACATATGCACCAAATCAGAATTCATTACATATATTTCCTATGCCTTACATAGCTTTTCCCTTCTCCTAGATTCTTGGTTTATAATCGGTTTCCTTGTACATATACTAAGCGAATTTTCTGCCATCATATTAATTTACCAATTGTTCTTAGTTGGAAAATTCCAATATATTCCCCACATGCATGCTCGGTTTTCCATCCTCATTAGGCACTTATGATTTCTCTTTAGCAAAGCATTAACTTCATCACTAACACAAGAGCTAATAAATTATTTACATGCTGTCTTTAAGAGTTCTAACACCTACAAGGCTTGAATCAAATCTGGTTTCAAGGTTCTTGCACTAATCTAATCATTTGGCTTAGAGTTTGTTTCATCAATAGATAATAAGTGACATAATCATGCTCTTCCATGCAAATAGGTTCGGTTTCTTGTCCAATAATTAGGTGCCACTCATTTATTATTTAAATGACCTTGTTTACAAGATTTAAGGTGTGCCATAAAAGCTAAGAGCATGTTGTTTTCAACAATTAACACATGTAACCCTTAACAATTCTTTCTATTCCAAGGTGCAGCTCAACAAAATAAAGAGAAACTATTTCCCAAACTCCTAAGGTCGGTCCTAGGCATAAGTAACACATTTTAGTAAACTGCCTTCTCAATTTTAACACATATAGAACTCCATTCTTTTTCCTAACCCAAGAAACCGTCCAACAATTTCAAGGGAGCTATAACCATGCTCACAAGTTCAGCCTTAGAATAACATTTATCAACACCAAAAGGTTCCAAGTACAAACCGGTTCTGTTTTATAATTTTATCTACTCACGCCCCTAAAGCCTGGACTAATAGATTACCAACATTTCGTTTTGAGCATTCAGTCACATAAAAGGCCTATTATCTTTTTCTAATTTGAGGGGCAGTCCAACTAAAATCAAGAGAGCAATTTCTAAGCTTATAAATCGGGTTCTGTAAGCATTACAAGGCTGTTCATTATTTTAATATACCTTCACAACTCTACTAAATTTATGGTTGAGCTAAGGGAAATTTGTAAGCAGGTTGCACTCTAAAATTCAGCCCTTGTAAAGCTACTAATTCCCTTCCCAATTCAGCGCACAATTTAGCATTAGGAACACTGATTTCTAATTTACCACAATTAATTATTACAGCTTGCATGTACTAGGGTACTAACTAATATACAACTGAACAACAAGGAGAGTGGGGAGATGACCCAAAACTAGCTTCCTACACATGCTTACTGCCGAAACAGAAAAATAAGAGAAAGGGAACTGATTATTTCATGGTTACCTTCTTGTCCACACACCAATGCTCTCCAACCAAACAAGGGAAACATCCTTCACCCCTTACTTTGCTCCAAGAATCGAAACTAGTTGTATGCAAGGGAGATAGTGACTCAATTAAAACAGAATCATATTCCAACAAAAGGAAAACTCATTCAGAATTGGTTCAGGTAGGAATGACAAGAAGACAACGAAAATTACCTTACCTTCTCTTACTTGGTTGATGGTGCATATTAGTATTAATAGGAAGAATGAGGATTGAGTTCAAATCAGAATCCACATGCAATGGATGGCAGTCCTAGACCAGAACCAAAACGTGAACATGCAGGGAAACTCTTCAACAAATCGGATGGATGAAGGAGTCTTAGGCTTTTTGTTTTCTGCTATAGGAAGAATCGTTGAGGAAGAGAAGGGAGGAACTTGGATGGAGGTTTTCTTACCCATTAGCTCACGATTTTAGAAGAGAATATGGGAAGAAAATTAACATGCATTATGTGGTTCTTCCACAAGATGGTTCACGACTTGAGGAGGGGCTGGTTAAGGTTGATTCTGAATAAAAGAAAGTATTATGTCTTTAGTTTATGATGGTTCTTGCGCATGGGTTGAGAGAGGACAGATTGTTATGCTAGCTTGTGAGCTGAACCAAAAGACCAACATCAGCTCCTTTTGCTCTCTTGTGCGCACTAATGTGGGGCAATAAGGATGGATGAGTGTGTCTTTTAATTCCGGTCCAACTCTACTAGTGATAATCATTCAATCTTGGATTGCATAGCTCAACGAATAGGAGGGAAAAGAGAGGAGATAATGCTGTACTAAAATTCTGGACCAAAGGAATTAGAGAAGGATTCAGATTTTATTCACTTACACTAGGCGCACAAGGAAAAGATGGGATAAAGGGAGTTTGCCTTTGACCAATAAGAATACATGCAAGAGGATTACTTTCACCTAATAGGCTGCATGGGGTTTTGCCATGTGTAATTAATCTACCAATGCATGGCTACCTTGTAGATTTTCTTAAGATAAGTTGTGAGGATAAATTATAAATTCTGATTGAACTTAAACCCTTCATAAGACCTATGGGCCGACGGTCCACATATGGAAAGGGGTCCAAAATCTAATTCCAATGATTTTCCTAGCTTACACACTAGTCCACTAAATTATTGTCTAATTTCATTTTATGTTGCACTTTAAATATTTTCCTAATAATTATTATTTCATGTAAGGTTCACTTATCCCATAAAAATATATATATATATATATATATATATATATATATATATATTAATTATTAATTTATGATCCCACTAGGCAGTAATTAAAATTCCTACTTACATTATAATTAATTGTAATTCTACCCCTCTTTACTAGTGCCATGAATCTTTTAAAATATTCATATATGCTCGCTTATGATAAACACCAAATAATTTTTCCTACCTAAATTAATCCCACTCAACACAATTTAAATTCGAAATTTAAATCATGTTTCGCACCCTAGTTGCAAGTTATGTAATTTCTAATTTTGCGGGATGTTACAACAGCATTCATAACACACCACGACCACTTTGAATTTATGGTTCTACCATTTGGGTTGTCAAATGCTCCCTCTACTTTTCAGGAAACAATAAATGATGTTTTCGCACCACTCCTCCGACGTTTTGTAGTCATATTCTTTGATGACATCTTAGTTTTCAGCCCAACATTACAAACACACGTCACACATTTATCTCAAGTCTTGGACATATTGAGGAAACAACAATTGTATGCGAAACTTTCAAAGTGCTCATTTGCTACATCATCTATTCAATTCTTAGGACACATTGTGTCTAGTGATGGTGTCGCACCTGACCCGGATAAAGTCATAGCAGTTTCAGAATGGCCTACTCCAACTACGGTCACTCAAGTTCGAGCATTCCTAGGGCTTTCAGGATACTATCAGAAATTTATTAAAGGGTATGCACAAACAGCTTCTCCAATCACTGATCTCCTGACAAAAGGAAAATTCCATTGGACAGAAGAAGCTAACACGACATTTATGGAATTAAAGACGTGCCTTACTGAAGCACCGATTCTCACTCTTCCTGACTTTCAAAAACAATTTATAATTGAGACAGATTCATCAGGTACGGGTATAGGAGCTGTGTTGCTACAAGATAGAAAAGAAATAGCGTATTTCAGTAAGAAACTCTTCCCACACATGCAAACTCAATCAACTTATATCAGGGAGATGTATGCTATTACGTCGGCAGTAGGCAAATGGCGTCAATACCTCTTAGGATCCAGCTTCGTCATACGAACGGACCATGACTCAAGAGCA